GCTCCCCTGAGCCTGGCTCTTTCTCTTTCTTCTGGTCTCAGCTCAGATGCCCCCTCCTCAGAGCATCCCTCACCAGTCAGCCCTCTGTTTCTCTTCTCACAACACACCCCCCATCCCCGCCACACGCGCAATTACTTTTCTCTCAGATTTTCCTATTAAGTTCCTTCATGTCACAATTACATTATTCATAGATTCTTACGGGTTGAATTGCATCTCTTGAAATTCATGTATTGAAGTCCTAACCCCCAGTACCTTAGGCTGTGACCTTATAGAGAGAGAGGGTCTTTACAGAGGGAATCAAGGTAAAAGGAGGTCATTAGGGTGAGCCCTAATCCAGTATGACCGGTGTTCTCAGAAGGGGGGTAAATTTGGAGACAGACCCACAGAGGGAAGACCATCGACAAGCCGGGGAGAGAGGCCTGGAACAGACCCCTCACTCACAGCTCTCGAAAGGAGCCCACCCTGCTGACGCCTTGGTCTCGGACTTCTGGCTCCAGAACTGAGATGATACACGTCTATGGTTTAAGGTGCCCAGTTTGTGGTACTTTGTTACTGCAACCTTAGCAAACAGATACATTTTTTTTTCCCTTTCTGCCCTCACCAGAGTGTAGGTCTCGTGAGAGCGGGGATCCCCTCTGTCTCATTCACAGTTCTGCCCCCAGGGTCTGACACAGAGGAGGCCCTTGGTAGGTTGCGGAATTAATGAATGGGCACATCATCTTAGTTTTTCTCACCATTATCCCTCTAATGGCAGCTCGTCAAGTTCAGGTCACCTACTCAAGGTGACACATGGAAAAGTGAGAGAATTCTTCATTCCTGGTCTCATGTCACTCTGATTACTCCACAGTTCCCTGAGGGCCATCTTGAGTAAAACAGAATCTCCTGGCCTTCCCTTCTTATAGAGTATGGAATGCTTCTTCTCCTGAAAGTGCTTCAGAAGGTTCAAAGCTATCACATTTATCTCTGTGGAGGGAGAAGCCAAAATAACACCAGCAACATATCAGCCAAGCCCAGAGACCGTGAGCAAAGCAAACCAACCAACTTAACAGAAGCCTTCCTTTTGTAACCTAAGTATTAACCATCACACTAGTTTCAACCCCTTCTCAAATGATACAATTTATCACAACTTGACAAAGATCTTTTAAGAAGCTGTCTATCGCACACTTAGAGCCCCAGGCCGGTTCATTAAAACATATCAACGTGTCTGCAAACTGCTGACCTGAAACAAATAGCCTGCCAGCTGTTTCTTCAGCAAAAATGGGTTTATTCTGGAGCAGCAGAGAATTGCAGTTCAGGGTCTACAACCCTGGCAAGCCGTGCACAAGTCCTCACATGGCAAGGGAAGGAGAAAAGGAAGGGGAGGACATAATAAACAAAGACGCCGCGGCTTTCCGTGGGCTGAGTTCTTTCCTCTCCCTGTTGGGCTCTGCTGCTGTAGCGTGTGAGAGCTCCGCCTTCTGGTCTCCCAACTCTGTTTAGTTGACGGCTCTGTTTATTAATTTTTTTTACAAAGCCAAAAGGTATTTGCTAGAAAGACCAGAACAGAAGAGGCCAAGAGAGCTTTTAATTCGATGCCCAGAGGGCTAGGAG